GAAGGAAGGAAGGAAGGAAGGAAGGAAGGAAGGAAGGAAGGAAGGAAGGAAGGAAGGGAGGGAGGGAGGGAGGGAGAGAGGGAGGGAGGGAGGGAGGGAAGGGAGGGAACGGAGGAAGGGAGGGAGGGAGAGAAGAAGGGAGGAAGGGTGTTGGGAGGAAGGGAAGAAGAAAGGAAGGAAAGAAGGAAGGAAGGAAGGAAGGAAGGAAGGAAGGAAGGAAGGAAGGCAGGCAGGCAGGCAGGCAGGCCGGGCTGGCTTTGAACTGTGATCCTCAGATCTCATAGGATTGTAGACATGAAAATATGATCCTTAAATGGTACTTGAGATAAATTTCTTATAAAACAAATGGTTGTTGCTATGATCCTGCCACTTAAGTCCTTCTCTGATGTTTACAAAGAGTCAGTGCCTGCATTCCTGATGAAGAATAGCATGGCCAGGGGCTACAAAACCCAAATGATCTGCTGAACACACACACACACACACACACACACATACACACACACACACACACACACACACACACACACACACACTGCTTAAAGCAAGGGTTCAAAAGTGAGGGGAGATTTGTTGCTAAAGGAAAATATAAACTTGTATTTCTTTTCTGTCTACTTTCTTATCACTTCATGCTACATCTCTGTTACTTGTTCAGTTTTTCTTGGAACTCAATTTCTTTTTCCCTTTTGTTTTCCCTACAAACTCATCAGTGAATTTGGTGTTCATTTGAATAATTAAAATTTCATTCCTTTTTCTGTCTATTTAACCTTACATTTTTATACTGGCAAATATCACAAAACTAGAAAGTTACCAATAATTGTATAAACACACAACATGTGTTTATTTGGGGACTTGAGAAATACATTTCTTAAAACCATAGTATCAATGGAGTATAAACACTCAACTTGTTTTTATTTGGGGACTTGAAAAATACATTTCTTAAAACCATAGTATCAATGGAGTACTATTGTTGATTGAATACTAATGTCAATACTGCTGATCAACATTAACTTGCCAGTAATTGGTTAATTGTGAGTGGGAAAAAATGTTCTAGTAGATACAAAACAATGAATCTTAAGATTGGGTTTAGTTGTCTGTTTTTTAATTTCAATTTCTGATAAATAGGAATATTTTCTGTATGTCAAGTAATATTAAAAATTACATATTGTACTTCCTTTTCTCTTAAAAATTAAGAGTGGAAATATGTCCAGGGACTTTTGTTAAAAGTATCTTTGTCATAATTACTATGGCTTTGCAATGGAGCTCCAGAGTTGATCATTATATCAGATGAAGTTATTTGCAGACATTTATTCACATATTTAATAAATTATCACATATCTATATCTAACAACTGTATACAGACTACAATGAAGAGAAAGTGTCTTTTCAGAGCATTCTCTAAGATAAACACATCGTTTTATATATATGTATATATGTGTACATATATTTATATTTACATATATGTATAATTGAGTTCTTAGAACAATTTACTATAGTAAAAATATGACCTTCACAAATAAAGGAAACCCAGCCTCAAAAATTAATTATTTCATTCAAATGATCAGTTCCCTAACAAAAATATCTGAAATGGAACTCTGCTCTTTCTAGTTTCAAGAACTACAAAAGCTCAAGGAAATCTCGTTTCAAAAGCCTATGAAATTTTTGCAAAGGATATATGCATTTTTATAGGACTAAGAGGAATAATTTGGTCTTAAATATTTTATACTACATATATTTAAAGTTGTAGTTGTTTGCTGTGAGGTAATTTGCTTTTTATTTCACCAGGATAACATCAGGCTTCGATCAAGCCCATCATTTTCTAGTCTTCATTATCAGGATGCTGGAAATTATGTGTGTGAAACTGCTCTGCAAGAAGTGGAAGGACTGAAGAAAAGAGAGTCATTGACCCTCATTGTAGAAGGTAGTAAAGTACTGTGATACGAAGTCAACTTTTGAGAATTTAATACCTAATTATTTATTAGTTTCATTTATTATAATTATTTTCATCACAATGACATTTTAGGAAAACCTCAGATCAAAATGACAAAGAAAACTGATCCTAGTGGACTGTCTAAAACAATAATCTGCCATGTGGAAGGCTTTCCAAAGCCAGCTATACAATGGACAATTACCGGCAGTGGAAACGTCATAAACCAAGCAAGTATTTGTCTTCTTGCTTCATGCTACAATTAGTCCAACATGGAATTTTACTTTGGAACCTAAAGTGTACATTGTTTTCTTTTTTTTTTTTACTAAATGAAATTAAGAGTGTTTCAGAGAAAGCTCTTGCTGATTTGTGAAGTCTTACTAATTTTCCCACATGAAAATCTTAGCTCAAAGGAGTTTTAAACCTTGGAATCATGGAAAATGAACAATGGAGAATCCATTATGTTGTGCTCTGTTTTAAAAGAAACCAATTGACTATTGCTTCATGGTTATTAATTTCTAAAACTTTCTTATTAAAATATTTATATATATATACTTTCCCACACCAGAAAAATTATATATTAGAATATAGGTAGCCTCCATTACTTTAATTATTCACATCAAAGGATATCTCTTGAAACAGGCTTCCGGGGTGGTGATGAATCATGTCACTGCTAAATATGTAATTCTGATTTTTCCTGTGTTGGAGCTGAGACCAGAAAAAGGCAGGCAACTTAGAATCTAGGCTGTGCCCTTCTAATATTTGTGCCATTGGTAGGACATTTTAGTAACTGCAAATAGTTAAGTACAAATATTACCAGTAATTTTCTCTTAATCATAAGTCTGACAAAAATAGTAACAATCCGGTCTGTCACTGTGGGTTTATAACTTAATGCCACTAAACTGCCAAGCTGCTTGATAACGTAGCACACTTTAAATTCCATTTTTCTCGGTGACAGTTTTAATTTCCCCTCATCTTATTAGAAGCAGTTAAAGATTCTCCAGGAGCACAGAATTTTCTATCATCCCTTCCTCCAATTTTGACTTAGCTGAAATTTGAGGAACATGTATAAAGCAAAAATGAGGCAAATTAATTTTAAATGGAAACCTTTACTTTTCTTCTGTCCATGTAAACTGGGCCCTGGCTCAATTCATATTATTTCCATAGCAGAGTTGCTTTGGACTTTTCACTAATGGTTGATGCATACATATTTGCTTGTGTTCAGGAATGGAAAGCTTTAAAAGAAATCACACTTAAAGCAAGTGATTCTGATTTGTTTAGATATAATGAGACACACAGTAAAAGACAACCAGCACTTTAAACCTGATAAAGTAAGTTTTCTTTTGTTTGGCATACAAATCTACATCTTCCATATTCCTGACAATGTACAGACCTGCTTTTTCACTTCAAATATTAAAAATTAAAGACTAAAAAAGTGGGAATGATTCTTTGCTACTTTATTCTTTTAAGTCTCTATTGCAACTCAGTAGTGAGTGCAGCAGAAAACAACTGTGGCTACTAGTAATGTAGGCAGAGAAAATAGCAAAACAAGCTCAGAATAAACACCTGATAAATGAATAGCAATCAAGATATAAAAGGCCAGCTTAGAAGCAAGCAAACATATTCTGCAGGGATTGATGTAGCAAACACAAAGACATAGAAAGTAACATGTAAAATCCTAGTGGGGAGTGGAAAAGTAGCAGTTATATTTACTATGGGGAACAAAATAATAATTGCCATTCCTCAATGTCAAAGAGAAAGATTGATTCTAGCCCACTAGATTTATCATTTTTCTTGTCCTAGGTCCAGGCTGACACATCCATAATCTTGGATTCATTCCTACTTCAAACACATGATGAATCTATGATTTCATAATGAAAAGCTATCTCTGCCTGTCCTCTACCCTAAGGGACTAGCGGAGATTCTACTCCTGTCCTCAAGGCACTTAGCTGCAGTTAAGCAGAAAGCAAATAGAGAGAAAAATAGGACATGATGTGAGAAAAAGACAGAGAAAGCAAAGGGTTCAAGTGCCTGCTTGTTAGATTTAAGGGTCAAATTATAGTAATGAGACAAAAGTGGATTATTTCTTATATTCAAAGGCAGTGATTGATCTCACTTGAAAAATACAACAGACTTAGTGGTAACTGAAAATGAATTCAATTTCTTTATATATATATATATATAGTTCCATTTATATACATATATATAGTTCCATATATATATGTATATATATATATGTATATACACTGAAGTTGATGGAATTTGCTAATTACCAGTAATTCATTTTGAAACAAATATCATTGTGCTAACATGTTAACTAAAACAGACATCAATTGAAAGAGTTTGATTGATTTAATTAGTAGGATCATAATAGGAAAATAAATCAGCTTACATTTTTAATTACCTTTTTAAAAATTATCTTTATTTTACCTGTTGTAGATATAGGTCTGAATAATCATATCTCCATTCTTACACTTACCTGTGAGCAGCAGAATATATGATGGAGCATCTTACCTAGCCCCTTTCCTCACTAATATTGTTTTCCATGCACTTGCAATATACTTCCTCGTCTAAACCCACCTTCCTTCTTCTTTTTCCAGACAGAGGAATCTCCTTATATCAATGGCAGGTATTATAGTAAAATTATCATTTCCCCTGAAGAGAATGTTACATTAACTTGCACAGCAGAAAACCAGCTGGAGAGAACAGTAAACTCCCTCAATATCTCTGCTAGTGAGTATTTAATTTCTGGCATTAAAAAAGTAAGAAAATTTGAAGTTATTCTTCATTAGTTTAAAATCGTCAGTTCCATCTTCCTGTACTGCATTATGGTAAGTTTTATTTATGTATGTATTTATTTTACATTTGATATCATCATCATAAGGTTTTTTTTTAACTTTTTCTCCTGATTTCCTTTTTTATACTATCCTTGTCTTGACGGTTTAAATCATTTCATATATCTCAGGGCAGAGACCTGTACTTTTATTAGAACCCCTCCCATGAGCAACAGAGGATAAGAAATAGGTTGCTTTTATTTAATCCACATTTTGTTTTCAGAGTAGAGATAATTCAATGATTATCTTAACACATTTTTGTGTTAATTTGATAACTATGTAATCTTTTCTTTTTGCATTCTTATTCTTGGTGGCTCATATATCTTACTTTTATTTTAACAAAAATGTCAGGAGATTGAAGTCTTTCAGCAAAATTAGTTTAATTAATTAATATAAATTTAACAAACTGATATCAGAATTCCTAAACTTGCTCCTTGTTTTATGTCTTTTTCAATTATAACAAAAATAAAATATAAGAAATTATCTCAGGAAATAGGACAGAAGCTGTGAGTGCTGAAATCTGTGTAATATATACATACCTCTAGCTGTTTCTTATGAAAATAATTGTGATTTAAAGTGAACATTATCCATTAATTCTATTTTACTTCCTATTTCTATGTCAACCTTAAATTACCACTGACCTAGAACAAGGCTGCTTTAGACAATGCCAAACTTTTATTCTTCTGTCAGTTGGAATCCTGTGTGTGACCTTAGAAGGCTGTAGATATAATGCCCAGGAATGAGTAGGTGCTTAGAGGAAAAAATTTTCTAAAGATAGTTGTCCCAAATAAACTATGACAAGAATCTAAAAGCCTGTTGAATTGACATTAGAAAAGATCTAAACAAATGTAATACTAAAATAGGAGTATGGGCTTCTCAGAATGCAATTCAGAAAGCATTGATTTATCCTACTAAGAAAGAGAATCCATCTTTTCTCACAGGACCTAAGTATTTTTTAGTCTGACTGAATGGGGCACTTCTATTTTCTAGGTAATGGAGTGGCTTGATCAACACTTGACACAGTCATTTTCAATCTCAGTGAACATTTCCTGAGATTCTAATTAAATGAATATATGTATACATATATAGTAATATATGTACATATACATATATGACAAACTGGGAATTTACATCTTATCAAACATCATTGTGGATAGCTCTGATGTAGCCACATGAAGTCAGAATCACGTTTATATAGCGTAATACAGATTATCATCCACAAGACCAGTGACTCTTAGCATGACACATTATTAGAGAACTTTAGCCTACATCACATATGTTCCTGAATGATCTTTAACCCAAATCCACACTTTGAGAATATCTGTAGATAGATGTCCTTGACACTGAAGGGTGAAAATGGGTTTCCCCATTGTGGAAGCTGGAAAAAATGAGAAAAGTTGAGAAATACAACATCATAGTCTTTATTGGTGCCAAATGGTGTCACCAAAAAAAAGTACTATAAAAAGGTGATAGACAGTGAAAAAACTAATACGGATTTCAAGTTAGTACTATTGCTTATCATTTGTGAAATTTTCCGTGGCAGAGGATTACTTTTGCATTTTTATCTACTTTCCCTCCCTTAAAGCAAGATTGATTTCTTTGCAGGGAGTTCATGCTCTATTAAGTGTATTTTTTTTACCTTCAGCTGTAGAAGAGATATTTTATTTGACTATTATTACATCATGCTATAATGGTAAAGGTGACTTTCATATATCAACAAATTTTGTTTTTAATTTCATATTAACATTTTTCATTTCAGTAAGTATTCCAGAACACGATGAGGCAGACGAGATAAGTGGTAGGTACTATGCTGCAGACCTTTCTTCCTTGACTCTCACTTCAAGATCTATGAAGTGTCCTTGTATCAGTACTTTTCTTAGCTTCCCACAATAGTGACTTGCATTAAAATACCAAATGAGACCAGATCACTAGAATACTAAAATTTCACCCCTTAAAATCACAAGGTTGCATGTTAATCATGGTAGTGAGGCTTAGTCACCATTCATAAGTAATAACTATACTGGCTTCTGTTTGAAAAAGAAAAAACACTTTTAGCATTGTCTGTAATTGCATGGACTTTTCTTTTTTTGTTGTAGATGAAAACAGAGAAAAGGTGAATGACCAGGCCAAACTCATTGTGGGAATTGTTGTGGGTCTCCTCCTTGCTGCTCTGGTGGCTGGCGTCGTCTACTGGCTGTACATGAAAAAATCAAAGTAAGTGATAGAACTATAATCTTCCCTGCTCATCGACCTTCACTGTGCAGAATACAATGGGATGATTTGTGCTCACTCCTGCTGTGCAAGCCACTTAGACAATAAGACAACCATGTACTTCAAGTCAGCCTGGTCATCCTTGGCTTTCATTCAGCGATTACAGTACACATCGAGGATATGATAGAGCATAGTTTTATAGGTGTCTTCTGATTTTTCTTAGTAATGGCTCTGAACTCAAATTATTTGATTCTTTTTTTCAAGGGTTGGGTAGATATATTTTAAAAGCATGTATGCTACCTGAGGTTGGTGAACATTGTTTTTTAATGGCTAATATATATGTGAGAGACTGTTGTATGTGATTCTGTTGTGTGTGATTTTTTGCATTGGCAAATATGGCTGCTGGTGAGGTAGAAAACGTTGTTGTCCTTGTCCTCCATTCTAGTCAGATGACTAGTGTTCTCCATTCTTCTGCTTTCTAGTCTAATATTCAATTCTTATCATTTGTCTAAGAAGGCAGTTCCAAAACAAAGATATCATTATTTTTCATAAGTAAAAATTGGATTAATAAAAATTGCATTAGACTAAAAATATTTAGAATCATAAAATATTTCCAGTATTCTGAAACTTACACATCATCCATCAGTGGTTTGTAATGAAAACCCAGTCAACCAAGGAAGATTATTAAGATGCACACATCTAGTACTCCTTATCATTTAGGACAGATGAAGTTAGGCAAGAATAGGGTTCCAGCATTTGAATCTTCTGAAACTCCACTGGTGATCCTTAGTATATTTCAGCTTTCAGATATGGGTTTTAAATCTCATACATTAATATCTGAAATTGGGGTATCTATACTTAGTAACAGCACTTGATATAACTGTATGTTATATTTTGGTCTGATACAACCTATCTAACTTTTCTGAAGGAAAAATTTAACTTAAAAGAGAAACAAAGGAAAATCAGTCTGAAATCAGAACGCATGACTTTACCTTGTAAAGATACCAGTTTCAATGGTGAAGTAGCTGAGTAAAACTGCCATACAAGGTAGACTGTAGTTAAATTCCCCTGACCACATGCTGATGAGCTTGGACTAAGTGTTTGTTTCAGTCTCACAGCCTATCTATGAGATAGCTACCATTATTCACATATAAAGACTCTGAGTCAGAGAATTTTTAAAAGACAGTTGTACAGATTGCAATTGGTAGAATTATTTTGATTTAAGCAATATTTTTTTTACTCTGGTGCATAATCACTAGCTTCATTTTATCTCATGATGCTTTATTTTTCCTTCTCTTCTCTTAAAATAAAAGCTTGTTTTCTGTTATGTGCTGTGGTGGGAGGGTATGATGTTCATGAAAGGGACAGCATCTCTTGATTTATCCACTTCACTCATTCTTGAGCCGTCCTCGCCACACCTCACATATTAGCCAGGGATCTCCAGAAAATCAGGCCAGGTGTGTGTGCAGGTGTGTGTGTGTGTGCCTGTGCATTCATGTGTGATGTGTGTGTGTATGTGTGTGTGTGTGTGTGTGTGTGTGTGTGTGTGTGTGTGCATTCTTACATGTGCATGTTTGGGAGAGAGAAAAAAAGAGTCAAAGAGAGAATAAAAATTTATTGTAAACCAGGCACTGGTGGCTCACGCCTGAAATCCTAGCTACTCAGGAGGCTGAGATCTAAGGATCATGGTTCAAAGCCAGCCCAGGCAGGAAACTCCGTGAGACTCTTATCTCCAATAAACTACTCAGAAAACTGGAAGTGGCACTGTAGCTCAGGTGGTAGAGTGCTAGCTTTGAGCTGAAGAGCTTGCCTCATTTGACTATGGAAGTTGCAAAGCTTCAAGATGTGCCATCAGCAAAATAACTACCCTGGAGACCAGATGTGTAGTTAGTTTCAGGTTGTGTCTAAAAAGCCTGATATATAGAAGAGCTGAAATAGAGGTTCCAGTCTTAAATTAAACAGGAGGGAGATTCTGGTGGAGCCAATCTTTCAATCTGGTCTATGGAGAAGAATAAGAAACAAAAACAAGTAAATGATTTCAGGATCAAGCAGTAAGTTCCCACTTTCTTAGCCTTCCAATTATATTCACACTTTAATGGACAAGTGAAGCACACACACATAAGAGAAGACAATGTGCGTTGCTCAGTGTTTTCATTCATATGTTCATCTCATCTAGAACATATAACCAGAGTAATGTTTAACCAAATTTCTGGGTACCACATAGTCCAGTTAACACATAGATTAAATGATGACATTTACTAACAAATGCATGATTTTCCTCAATGAACATTTTAGCTACAAACATACAACATGAGTTTGTATCCATAGTAACTGGGGAAATTTTAGAGGAGTATCTGTTCTATGTAAGTGAAACAAAATACTAAAACACTAAAAATTCTCAGAGAAAGTAGGTACTATAATATAGGAATCTTATTGCTTCCTGATGATCAAAATCTTATCTTCCTTTTATTATCCAGGACCAAAAAAGAAGCAAATCAAACAACTTCAATTCTAGAAGATTTATTTTAATTTTACTAGGATTTCTGCTGTATTCCAAGGAATTTTTTCTTAGAAAAATGAAAATAAAATGTCCATATCCAAAGCTAAAACTGAACTTTTATCTTCTACATTACAATTAAATGAATGTTAGTTCATGAGACACTCCCTGAATCTTAATCATCCTATTGCAAAAACCAGTATCTCAATAGATATAATTATCTTTCTATATATAGAAAATATTTGTGTGTATATTAATTCATTAGTTATTACCATATGGTGATCTAAAAGTACAATCATGGATGAATAAATGCTGAACATGTTTCATAGTGTCATTAAACTGAGGTTTCAACTTTACAGTGTCTCATAAATAATTGATACTTAATAATATTCTATCAAATTTAATGTACAAATAATTTAGTGTACTTTTGTACACTAAATTGGATAGAATTGATATTATTTGCAATCCAAGCAATAAATTATAATTCTCATCTCAAGCATCACAGGATATTATTTTACTAGTGTGTGGAATGTTTCAGATTTGCTGAGTGCTTTGCATGTCCAATTACTTATTCCTTGACAGTGTACTCTGAAATAAACTGGCATTAATGCAATTGATTTAGTGTTCTTAACCTCTTAATCCACTAACCAGACTAAATGGAGATTCATAATAAGAGCTTTCAAGGTTAACCAGATATGGTGGTTCATACCTGCAATCCTAGCTACTCAGGCCTGCAAGTTGGAATTGTAGTTCACAAACAGTTCACATGGGAGGCAACAGTTCACACCTGTCATCCTAGCTATGATAGGAAGCATAAATAGGAAGAACACAGTCCATGCCAGCTCAAGCCAAAAATGTGACCCTTAGCCATAAAGGGCTGGAGGAATGGGGCTCAGGCAGTAGCACGTATGCCTATCTAGTCCTAAGTTCAAACTCTAGCAGTGCCAAGAAACAAAATGTGGACATTTTCAAATTGAGAATTTCTAAGATTATTTTTCTTGTGATACAGCTAGAAAATTTAAGGAAATTCTTTGCCTTGGTAATTGAAAAAAAATTGTAAAAGAAAAACAACTAAGAGCTGAAAATAAAGGTGTGGAGGAAGAATTATATAGGCATGGACTTCATTATAAGTCTACCAAAATCATAGATGAATGCATTGAATAGCTGCCTGGCTTCCACAGGTATTATCACTGGGAGTAAATATTAACCAGACATTTGTGTGACAAATTTGTCATCTCAAAACCCTCATTGTGTGAAACTTTGGAAACTTAGCAAATCATTCACCCTTGCAATCTGGGAACACAGAGCTATTTTCATGAAAGCTATTGCGCAATATACAGATAATCACAAAATCACAAATGTATTATGATAAGTTGGCCTTGCATAATGCTATTATTCCAGTGCTCTGTCCGAAGAAAGCAGAGACAGTCCTAACTTGGCCAACAAAGAATTCATTTAACATTGAAATATCAAGAGATAAGCAAACTATCCAGAATCTTTTTTATTAGTGTTTCTTGATAGATGGAATCACATTGTACAAGAAATGATTTTAACTGGATTCTTTACTTCTAATCTGTAATAACTCTGAAACCAAATGTGTGTCCTCACAAAAGAGAAAAGATTTTTCCACTGAGTGATTTGAAAATGTAGTGCTAGAGGACCAGCTCTGCACATTTTCTACCAATGTCCTCATTTACAATGGCATGAGCATGTATTCCCTCTCGCCCTCCTCTTCTCTGTGTTTCTCTTATGTCTGTCATACTTCTTTTACTGAAATCTTCAACCATTTGCTGAATCATTAACCCCATTTCTTAGAACCTGAGGATCTGTGGGATTAACCTGGCCTAGAGATTATAAACAGTCTTTCTTTTTTCTGAATCCCATTTAATTCTATCCTATTTTGGTTCATTATCAAGTCTTCTTGGGAATGAAAATATCGGCTCTGACTTTACCTATTGGCATTTGCTATAATGTTGTGGGGAAAGGGGTATGCTCATAGGTGCCAAATGGCATAGCCTCTCCTCTGGTTTTAGAATTTAACCTAATCCAAATTTTGGCTTCTTTGTCTTTATCTATCCAGAGCCAGGCAGGCAGAAGAAGGAAGAAAAGAAATTGAACCATTCTTTTACCAAACCATTAGTATCAGACTTAAGGGGAAATGGAGTGAAGCAATAATTAGGCCACCCAAAAGGCAGAAGCATCCTTGAGCCCTCCTCTTCTTCTGATGCGTGGGACCTGAGTTTTCAGGGAGAAAAGGCTTATATCAAAATATAATGTTTTCACTTTGAAGACAAAGTCACATGCATGCTTGTTTACATTGTCTTTGCTGAGGTAAAGGCAAAAAATGCTCTTGCCTGGCATGAATGCTGCTGCTGAATTGCAGCATTGGGCAGCTTCAGGCAGCCTGGAATCATGTGCTAATGGACCCGCACAACACTCTCTGCACACTATAATATACTCAGTGTCCTTGAGTCTGCTTTAATCCTCCAGTCTTTTACTGAATGAA